AACAAACAAATGTCATGGCAGTCAGCAAATCCTAAATGTTGTGTGAAACATCAACGAAGTACCAACGGTATAACAATAATCCGAATAAAAAACTTACAGTTGCGTCTGTTAGCAACTGCGAAGCCAGCTAAAAATAAGATGGATGAGAAATCATTGTTTTAGTATAAGTGTTGATCACAAACTAACATGTTCAAAATAAACGGTTTTTGATTAAACGTCTAAAGTACATTTAGCTCACCCATTCTTCTGATCGTGATCCGCGCTTTTTGACTTTGTCGCTTGCGTCGTGCAAGAAGGCCTGGCTTGCAACAACGATGGCGTGCGCAACTTGTTACTCCGGACAGATAGCACTTCGGAACTGAGGACACAAAACACCTACAAATCTAATAATACTGTGGTATGGACTTACTTTGAATTGCCTGGTAGAATTTGTAAGTACTAATACCAAGTTTACCTTTTGTTCCGCGTATAGTGTAGGTGTTAGCCAGTTCCAGCGATAGCTGGTAACGTAGGTATGCTTTGGTTGATTTACGAGAGTCATCACACATGATCTCGTACATTCTGGCCATCTAAAATTTGTTGAATCACCGGTTACAACTTGCGAACTGATCACGAATCTCAAGCTCATCCAAAGCAACTTCAAAAGTACGCACCTCCTTATGTGTTCTTAATAGGAATGCATTACTTGAAGTGGTTGGTGGTCGGTGCACCTGTTATTTACACCTATGGATGAGATTTTAATGTAAGCGATCAGCTTATCTAGCTTCGTAGAAATATCACCCATTGCTTTCAGCATAATTCTGTGCAAATTTTGCGACCATTGACTGTCATATTTACATAAACAACTTACGATTCACTAACTTACGCTGAATTACATGGAGGCGGCGAGAAGACCTCCGTTTTTGATGAACTACTTTATGAGCATATATTTAAATAGGTACTTACCCAACTATGAAGAAACCATTGAGTAATGGAGCTACTAGGCGACCTAGGATCGGCCACAAATGTTGATCAGAGCATTTGAACATACATAGGCCGTCGGAGTTCAATTGCAGTTTCATTTCGGTGAAACGGATTTTTCGTAGCCAATCTTCAGATACCCTCAGCAAGCTTGATTTCAACCTAAGATGATAGTAGACTCCTGTTTCCATGATTTTCAGCCCTACGTTATGGCAGTGACGTAGAACACTTGACGGATGTGCAAAGTTCGGGAATGTACACCCGAAAAAGGTACAGAATTTCGTTAAAATTTTTACCGTTATTTCACTTCCTTTCATCATCCCAGTTACAAATCTTTCTTTATGTGGCTTCACTGAAGGATGAGTCGGTAGGGACATTTCTAAAATTGCACCATCTATAACTTGTTAAAAAATAAGGCTTGACTATACCGTTGGCTGTACTGGCTGGACACTGGACATAACTACATGTGGCAATGGCTGATTGTGAGCCAATAATATTACACTGCCCCAATGCTGTGGTGGCCTCTACTTCTCCGACAACAACTGAACCATCCTTCTCATAGTTACTGGCCGTTAAATAATATTATTTGACAAACTCAGCTTTTAACTTCCTTAACCTCTTGTGAAATGTTGATTTGGGATAGCCCATCAACTTTAAGTCTCTGCTGGCTTTAGCCCGCCTTTTAGCAATCCAATCAAGCTGTAAATCATTATTCTGAAGGAGACAATTAACTGTAGTCAAACCGAACAAAATTATTAATCGAAATAGTGGACAGTACAAATGATTCACCTGCATGGCGTGAGAATTTCGACAAAGTGGTTTAAAGCCAACAACTCATTTTCTTGTGTCTGTTTGACTTACTACCACGAAACCCGAAAATGGGTATAGTCTTCTTTAGCAAAGGTCATTATATTAATAAAAATAATATTTTTAAATTGTAATTTCATTTACAAAGGTTTAAAATGCACTGATGATGAAATGTTTGTCTGGGAAAGTGCGCAACACATATTTTGGGGTTTTCCTTCAAAATTTGCGCAAACTTTGGGGAAGGCCATTGGTCTTAAGGGATTTTCCGAAATTTGCTCCAAAGTGGGAAGATTGTGCAATTTCTCCACATCTGAAGCATTTAGCATTACGAAGTGCACATGACTAACTTGAGTGGAATTTGCTACACAACAAACATTTGTCGAAATTGTGTTCACTTTTGTGACATGTTTTGCGATTTCTTGATAAATCGCTCTTTCATATTTTCACGAGGAACTCTGCCTGTAGCTCTCCTAGAGTTACTGCCGGTCCCAAGCCCGGGTAAAGAAGTAGGGTTGGGCATGGGCTTAGCGTCCCCATCCCGTAGAAAACTAACTCGCTGAAAAAACGCTAACCACAAAATAAATTTCCACGAGGATAAAAGCCATTAGTAAATTACTGCAAGTTCGAACGACCCTGAGTGGGAAGTTCGTTACCACGACTAAGTAAATTACTAGAAATATTTTGCTGTCTTCGTTTAAAGACCACATCGATATTCTCATTGATTGAATGATTTGAATGCACAGCTTGGATTGTACCAATCATATTTCAAATTGCAAGATACTAATATTTGTGGATTACGAGATAACAGAATTCGAAAACTCATCTTCGTGACAAATTAAGTAAACTCACATATTTGTCTTTGTGTGTAATTTCTATCCAGGTATTTTAACAAACTGGTCTTTATTATTCCAAAATTGATGTATTTTGTCCGAAAAAGCTTCTAAAATCATCCAATCTGAATCGTCGGACCAAACACACTTGACGTTTATAAGCAACGTTATCCATCTGCTATTTCTGATTCGGAACACATGAGAGTGTGGTGGGCCAAATGATATATGAACTCGAAAATGATAAAAAAGTTATTACGTACAGACAGAAATGTTAGTATATATCAGTTAAGCGTTATCAACACAACAAAAATCAGAGACGTCACTTAATTCATCAGGTTTGTGGGTGTTCCGGTTGAGTTTGGTACCAAAATCCACAATTATAGATGATTGAAGATTCCAGTAAGATTGATGTCCTTCCAGTGATATAACCAAACTTAGAATATGATATGATTTGGTTGTAGTCTACAAATGTAGACGATAGTTGATTTAGAGTTCAGTTGTTGCAATCACGAGTAATGAAGAACAAGAGGTATGTGCGTAGCAGTGTATTTGTTAGTAGGTAACAACGTGTCATTCTATGAGTGTTACACGACGGGAGAAAAAAAGTGTGTTCAAGGTCATGCACTTAAACAACACGTACAATCATTTAATGATAAATGTACATGCACTGAAAAATTGACAGAATAAATACAAATAACATCAAAAACTATTTACAAAATAAGCTTGTCATGCATATCTCCACAAGAGGTACGAAACACTGTTCAGACTTTTAGTGCTTCTGATGAATGAGGCTTTAAAGTGACTCATGTTAAATACTAAATAATCACTGAGTAAACGAACATGTCCTTGAAATTTTGAAGTAATAGAGCTGAGAAAGTGATGGTATTTTTAAGGGTATTTATATCGCTTTTCTCAACAAATACAATAGTTTGAAATTTTTCGTGGCATTCTTGAATTCATTAATTTGAATTTCCAATCGGATTGTCATTGGAGCTATCTTTTCTAGAAATGTCGTTTGTCATCCATTGTTTTGCGTTGAGTTCTTATCCGCATGCTTCTAGTAACTCCAAAGATCGTTCTACAGTGACTTTGAACTAGACAAACATAATTCTTAAAATCTCATCGTGCTTCCTGAGAAGCCATAACAATAACAAATGTAATTTATCTAGCAGCGCCTCATTTGAGTACTTTTTGTTGAAAAATAATTTGTCTGATCAAAATATGATATCGCACCGACTGTCACACTGAGATTTTTTTTGCAACTTACGTCCGATAAATCCACCTCATTGGACATCTCCGTTGTCCAGAGTTGGATTTCTTACAATCCATGACTCCTACATGTTAGCGTAAGCTTGATAATTCTCACCAACCTTTACAGATTTCGCCAGTTGTTTTTCGGAGTGTTAATGTTTGCCTCCGATTGCCAGGCCATATATTTTCCGGTTTGTCCGTTTCCTTTTTAACTTGCGAATTCTAAGTTGGGGTTTGGTTTGTGTAGCCATGCTTCCTTTGAAAACATGAGACTACCGACAATAGGACAAAACTTACTTTTTAATCCTTGCACGAGAACTCCAGTAATTTTAGAGGGTTGCAGGCAGTTTGTCAAGGCCAAGTGACGTAATTATTGTAAGCGTTTTCGGAAGAACCTCTGTTCGTTTCAAGATATCGTAGTTACCATGTGAAAAACGCCATAATTTTCTGAATCACCCCGCCGGATGCTCAGACTTTTCCACAATTACTGTATCAATTAACGTTCTGTTTTGAAATCTCTGACACAAGCTGACTTTGCAAATGAGAAATCTAATATTCGCGAACATCGAAAGCCTATTTACAGTCATTCTACAATTCATAAATATCGCTGACTCTAACGCTTGTGCATGTTGAGCAGAATCTTTCCACTCGTTCTTGCACAAGTGCAGCATTAGATGTAAAGAAAATTTGTTGATAATGTGAATATCTTATAACAAATTACGACAATGCCTATGAAATGGTTCAATGCACTGAGTTCTCGAATATTAATTATCTCCCTGACCCGGTTTTTTCGCTGAATATTACAAGTTTTTTCTAACTGCTTCATAACACTGGTAACAAGATCTGAAATAACCGTTCTATTATGCAGCTTTTTGATTGATGAGTGCATCACAAACAAATAAAGATTCGCTTGTGCCAAACCTTACAGTGCGATGAATACATGGCCCGGATTAACTCACCATAGTTGCCAGGTAATGCCGTTTCCATTTAATCCGAATTAATAAACAAAATTTCATTCAGTAAACGTTTTATTTGGCTACGATTTGAATAAAGAAGCAAGATGCTCAATATTTTTATCAATGTTATACACTTTATCTATCCAAAAAGAATAAAGCATGTTATGTTGAGTGCTTTTGTTTTAATGTGCCATTTTGAGCGTCCTCTATTACGCTACACTTTGAAGTTCGTTGATCCGGAAACTGGTATGTTACTATGATAATAAGTACATGTTTCTTTATTCGAATGGGTTCTTGTATAGTTTATCTAAAAGCGTAATAACGATTCATTGCTTCGATTTAATATTTTTACTTAAATAGTGAATGGTCTTCCTGGACGCTCCATATTCGTTCTGTAAAACGTTTTCTGTTTTTTAAGCTAATTTTTAAACCTTTTATTTAGTACTCTGTTGCAGTTTTACATTTATCCGCTTATTGGTACGAACATATAGGATCGCGGGTACACTAGTTTTTATTTTCGCACCCCAAATTAACAACTTTATGGTATTATGCGATTATATATATAGCGTTAGGTGATGTTCTGTTCGTTAGTTTTTAATGTAATGCGATATATAATTTTCGTTTCGGGATGTTATTTCGCCAAATTTTCTAGGGCTGCTTACGAAACATTTTATCATCTTCAATAAGAAACCGATAGTGACCGCGATGTGATGTACGGGGTTAGCTTTTTACAATTCCAATATCCACAAATTAACTTTGAAACATTTTTGATACCTAGACCACTTTTAAATACAGTTTTATAAGTTGAAATAGATGTCGATAGACTGGTTTGACCATCACAGACGACCTGAAAATACATTTCGTCACCGATGTTATTTATTTGTATATCTATCACACATCGCTAAATAAATCTGTTTTATTCACTTCTACCCCAACCTGATATTTTTTCATTCTTAGTGTCCGGTTTCATGCAAACACAGAAATTTGAACCGCTAAATACAGTTTAAAGAATAATATATATGTCGTATTATTAGTGTTTTTAGACCTGAATAGCATTTGAAGTATCGGGTGATTTTTATGACTATCTACGCGACAAGTTTACGAATTTACTTCTTATATATTTACCGAACCAGTTTATTGAGCTGTCATAAACCCTTGAAATTTAATAGTTCCACAATCATTGAGCCTTAATGAAAAGAATTTTACGCAAACTTTCAGGCTACCTATATGAAAAAGCACAGTGACTGTCTTATTTAAAGAAAATATTTACCGGCGCTACTTTCTTACTTACTATATAACTTAGTTTGACAGTAGTCAAAGTGATACATACATAAGCATAAGCATTATTTCAAGGGAGGTTGTTGGTTGCCTCTCCCTAGTATATGATGCCAAATCCTGCGTGTTGACCTGATAGATAGGCTGCCGATTTTATTAGACACAGTGCAGACATTTTTTCAGCTAAACATCTTTGCAAAATATTGTACTCATACTCTTTGCCTACACCTACATACTTGAAATGCATAGGTCAGAGGACTTCTGCAGTTCTTGTATATAAGCATGCACATGGAGTATCCCTGTACGGTTAAGTGAACCCCGAATTCGGAACCCAGAATAATCGAAGATAAAACAGAGTTTATGACTAGTTCTATCTCCATCAATCGCCTAATTTGGCTGTCATGGTTGCTCCTACTATTCAGCAGCACCACAAGGAGGTTTAAGGTCGGATTTCTCTGTCAAAAGAAAAATATATTTATTGAAATTACTTCTAACTTTATATAAGTGAATAGTTGTACAGCTTTAATATAATATATACACATATTGACATTTAGTAAGTGATAGTTAATCACTTTTTTTCATTTGAAACACTACTGAAATGAAACTACTGGGTTTGTAAGTTCAATTAAAATCGAATGTGTCAACAGCAACCACGATTCTCTTAAATAGAGTCTCCAAAAATGTATTTTCAAGCCACAGTGATGTCCCACAGGAGTGACTTACAAGACACATTGGAAGTCTTTAAGACAGCGTATTGTTGTTTTGTCTTTAGGATTACTGTAACAGCTTTATAAAAGGTGGCAGTGTCATTCTTGGTGATATATACTAACCATTACTCCATGTAATGTTATTAAATGATGAAGCGAAAAGATTCACTTCATATAATATGCCCCCATTCAATTCGATTAGGACTTTCCAGACAGTAAAAAGAGGAAATACAATTGTATTTCCAGTCTATAGCTGTTTGTAAAGTATGGAAAATTTGTCAGTGATATTGAGTCTTTCGGGCTATTTGATATCCTATAGTGATAATGTTTTGTACCGTAACAATCAAATGTTTTTAATTATTATAATTGACATAACAACCTGATGTATCCTATCCAAATAACAATAGTATTCTTGTACGTTATGATTGATGCCTTCGTGCATAAATATGAGATGCTGACAGAAGACTTCTAATCGAGGTGACTCAACGTTACCTTCCGGTAGAAATCACGATTTCGTTTGATCATTAGTATGTATGCTTATGTTTCAATAGCTGACAAATAAGTAATCAAGTATTTTATTGATATATCCACAATCAGGTAGATCTGAATGCGGAATCGTTCTAACGATATGTCTTTCTTGGTAGTTAGAAAAAGGAGATTATGTCGAACATATGATATCATGAAGTGATAACAAGTTTATTTTCTTCAGTTTGTACGAAATTTTTGTTAGTTATATTGGCTGAGTCAAAATTACGGAATCATAAAGGCTTTAGACTCAGAAGGTTGAAGCTTTGAAGACGTTTTATGTTTTTTGTTGTATTGTTTAAATAACTTGGCATCTATTGGTATCTCCATGTGATCTTAAAATATTGAAAAAAACCTGCTGCATAAATCAGAACAATACATACTATCGAGCAGTATTTTTTATATTTAGATCTTCATAAGGCTTCATTCCAATATACAGTATTGTTTGTATGAATATATTAAAAATATTAAACAAACCAAAATGGTTTGAGTTAATTAATTATTAGCTATTATTAATTAATTAATTACTGATCATTATTACCATTAGCTTTATTCAATATTACATTTTTGGTACAAGATAGAATTCTCAACACAATGTATTTCAACAAGTTTCTGTTTTTTAATTCTTCATCGATCCTGACGACACATATTGAGTGATTGTCAGTTAGAAGTAAGCAGTCCAGTCAACTGACATCTAAATAATGTACATTCTTTTCAATGAATATTGCCAACAACCACGATATCTCTGATTAGGCTCTTTTGTAACTTATACAACGAAAGGTTGTACACTTTACACAAACTCATGTAAATAGGTTATTTGATTAATAGCCATCATAATGTATTAAAACGAACAAGATTAGATAAGTTGTTGAAATATCTGTATGACTAGAACAGGTAGCTCACATGTTCAAGCAGGCCACCAAGGTACATCAATCTTGCTATTTTTCACTTTTATTTTGATCACATAATTTGATTTATAATTTGTTTTTAACTGACTGATGTTAAACCGTGTTATTCTTAATCGCCATTAATTTACGTTCAGCTACTTCATTACACAACAACGTTATTTTTCTAGCTTTATGGTCTGTTGCTATTATTTCTAAGGATCTAGAATGTCCTCTTACTCATCATATTTGTTTACAGCTCTCTTTATATGTTTTCAGTTTCATCACATTCGAATTACCACTCTACCACGACGCTACATATCTAATTTAACTACTATACGTTTGCGAAATTTATAATAATTTTGATTTGAAAGGATTATAGGTTGTAAGCACCTAATGAGAATATAAGTAAAACGAATTCATATTATTATGCCCAATGTTTTGATTCACTCTCTTTAAGATAATACATGTAATCATATGAATCAAAGTTAGATGTTCAAGGCCTTTTTCCTTTTCACTTTTCTGAGCTATGCGAAAATCACTTCACAAAGCTTGGTTACTGATATGAGTGAAATATTTGTTATGTAATCTGAACACCTGAATAAACATAGTTTGTAGCCTAAGTAAACCTAGATCAAAACATTCTATCAGTTTATGAATTCATTAATGATTGAATGAATTTGTTCTATTTTGGAGGATATTTTCTGGGTATGATACTTATGATCACTATATTCTATACTTAGATCTATTATGCAACATATATATCTATAGGTATTTCAAAGCTTGTACTTTATTATAAAAACTTTTGAAACTCATATCAACTTCATAGACTACTGATTCAATATTGATTCTATCGACCAACAGTTACACATTTGTTAAATATATATATTAACGATAAGGAATATAGAGCTATCTGGATTATACATATATGTTACTGATGTGTATACATTTTTCCTAATGAGTATTTCTACTGTCACTCAGCGAATAAACCACATATGAGTATACATATATGTTTACATACACGCAACAGTTTATTCATAATCAAAACTAAATAACTTAGATATTTTCAAATCATATGACAAATACAAACAAACATAATCTATTTTACTGTAGTTACCACTCAAACATTTAAGAATAGTTTAAAAAGAAACGAGTTTTGTACAGATTAGTTAAATTTGTAGTTGATAGGATTCAGCTATTTAACAATTAAGACTAGTTATCATTTATGATATTGGATGATTATCATACTATATTGTGGATGAATTGAAGTTGAACTTTTACATTCCAACTTGGTTATCGTAATAATTGATATGCTTATAGACACATCATAAGATTCTGAATGCATACTGCACAGGCACTCAACAATAAACTATAATAACTTCCTGTTGATCTGTGATTTGTAATGATAATCTAAGTGATGTGAGGCTATGGACTATATGACCTACAAATGTAAGAGTAATTATTTCAACACTAGTTTTTGTCTGAAAGGGTTTTCCATGTTTATTTAATGACGTTGATAATCATTTTGAAGAAATCGAATTAACAAAATACACAATTGTAGTTGATATAGTGAAATAATTGATGCACCATGCAGTTTATTATCAGAGATATTCACCTACTTATTTAAGTAGTTCTTGTAATAAACACCTCAGTAATATGTTAGTCACTATTGTCATTAACGTAAATATAGTCATTAGTTAAATAGAAATTATGAATGATAACTAATTTCAGTTAGTTAACTGCTTCGACGTAAATACTTGAAATGATACATTTTTCTTGAAAAAAGAAAGGAAAGTTCCCTATCTTTGAGGACTGACTTCGAAAGTTTGATACCTTTTTTCTGGTGACAGAGTTT